TGCATTAGCGAGAGGGCCCAGAGATACCTCTCCGATAGTCGGAGTGACAAATCCTAATCTCGATCTATGCCAACCCAACAAACACCTTCGAAGATACCTGTAGGGCATCTTTATAATCTCCCAGTTACGTTGTGACGTTTGATAGCACACAAGGTATTTCTCCGGTGTCCAGGAGTTGCATAATCTCATAGTCTGAGGAATATGTATTTGACATGAAGAAAGCAGTAGCAATAAAACTGAACGATCATTATGCTATGCTAATGGATGGGTCTTGTCCATCACATCATTCTCCTAATGATGTGATCCCATTCATCAAATGACAACACATGTCCATGGCTAGGAAACTTAACCATCTTTGATCAACGAGCTAGTCAAGTAGGGGCATACTAGGGACACGGTGTTTTGTCTATGTATCCACACATGTATCAAGTTTCCGGTTAATACAATTCTAGCATGAATAATAAACATTTATCATGATATAAGGAAATATAAAATAACAACTTTATTATTACCTCTAGGTCATATTTCCTTCATCTACAGGTATCACCGAAGGTGTTTGTTGGGTTGGCACAGATCGAGACTGGGATTTTTCACTCCGTGTGATGGAGAGATATCTGTGGGCCCTCTTAGTAATACAACATCGTAAAGAGCTTGCAAGAAATGTGCCTAATGAGTTAGTCACGAGATCTTGTATTATAGAGCTAGTAAAGAGACTTGCCGACAACGAGATTGAACTAGGTATGGAGATACCGACGATCGAATCTCGGGCAAGTAACATATCGCCGGGCAAAGGAAATTGCATACGGGATTAATCGAATCCTTGACATCGTGGTTCAGCCGATAAAAGATCTTCATGGAATATGTAGGAACCAATATGGGCATCCAGGTCCCGCTATTGGTTATTGACCGAAGAAGTGTCTCGGTCATGACTACATGATTCCCGAACCAGCAGGGTCGCACACTTAACGTTCGTTTGACGCTAGAGTAGTATTGAAATATTTGATGATTGGTAAACGAATGTTGTTCGGGGTACCAGATGAGATCCCGAACGTCACGAGGAGTCTCAGAATGATCGAAAGGTAAAGATTTATATGTGAGAAGTCATATTCCGGGTTCTGGAAAAAGTGCAAGTTTTTCGTTATTTTACCGGAAAACTTCCAGAAGGCTCGGGAGGTGTCCGGAAGTCCACAAGTTGGTCCACCATGTCCCAAGGCTGGCATGATCTAAGAAGAGGCGCCCTGGCCTTATTGGGCTAGGGGCACCAAATCCTCAAAAGCCCGTGTTGCTAGGGAAGGAAAAAAGCAAGTCCTATTAGGAATAGGATTGGACTTGGAGTCCAAGTCCTCTCCCCCTTCGGTGCCAACTCCTATTAGGAGTAGGGCTGGAATCCTAGCCCTCCCACACATATAACTATAGGGGAGGGGCGCAACAAGGGACCCCAAGACATTGGCCTTGGTTCCTGCCCCGTCTCTCCCTCCCGGCATAGTTCTCGTCCACGGTTTTTTCGCTTAGCGAAGCCATGCCGGTATTTTGACTCCACCACCACCATCACCACCACGCCGTATTGCTGGTTGTGATACCATCCACTTCTCCACCTTCTCTTGCTAGATCAAGGAGGAGGAGACGTCATCGAGCCGCACATGTGCCAAACTCGGAGGTGTCGTCCGATCGGCACTAGATCGGTTGGATAGTGATCAGATCGCGAAGAGTATGACTAACCGCGTTATATACGCTTCTGCTTTCGGTCTATGAAGGTACGTAGAACACTCTCCCCTCTCATTGCTATGCTTCTCCTAGATAGATCTTGGCTCTTCGTAGGATTTTTTTTGATTTTCATGCTTCGTTCCCCATCAGCCGAGCCACACCAGAAACATGCGATATATCTTTGCTCGGCACACTGCATCAACCACCTGCTTCCCTTTCGCCGGGTCTGGACCCGGTTGTTTTGTATGCCCACGAGCGAGTTGATGTAGCTAAGGAGGAACTTCTTCGATGCTTCGACCGGTGGCAGCTGCTTGTGATGTGTCATCTCATTGTGCACATGCCAGCATCGCATTGCGGTTGTTGGATGAAGCTGATTCAACAGTTGAGAGGTGCCAAATCCGAGTAGTGTTGACTATTGGCTATTATCTCTACTACACTAGATTGTGCAATGTGTATTAATCTAGAAGATTCCATACTTGAGATTATGAACAACCAGAGTATGCACAAACCTCAAAACAAAGACACTTCTCCTTTATTCTAGACTCTTCCATACTCCCTCCGCCCCAAAATAACTGTGTCAACTTTAGTATAATGTCGTACTAAAGTTGTACTAAAGTTGAGACACTTGTTTTGGAAGGGAGGAGTACTTTAATTCTCCATTTTTCCCTTCTGTTAAAAGTATTGACATTCATTTTTATGTTATCATTCACATGGCATAATATGCACATAACACATACACTTGTCATTTATTCTAGGCTCTTCCATACTTTAATTATCCCAAGTTTTTTTCTTGCAAAAGAATCAACATTTTTTACTGTACTGTTTTCGTCTTTTGGTTCAATTTTCTTTGTAGATGGAGTACTTCGCTATCCACATGAGTTTTGTGTAGTGTATGCATTCATCAAATATTTTGTGGCAATAATTTGATTTTCAATGGATGGCCGGTGAGACTAAAACCCACATCTTCAAAATCATTCATATGTGACTTCAAATTTATATGTTTGTCTATTATAATGTGTTATGTCAATATCCGGTTGCAGTTACTCTCACGTGCAAGGCATGTGCAACTTACTACTAATTTTGGCGGGCTGAAACTTCAGGAGA